TAGCAAGCGCCGCAGCAATCACCGTCTCAATGGCAGCAGCAATGTCAAAGGCAAAAGAAAATTTTGGAGCTAAAATTCCCAAATGAGTATTCCTTCAAGGAAGATGAGGTCCCTGCTATTTTCAAATATCTCCTGGAGAACAACAAAATCAAGTTGCCTCCAATCACCGATCAAGAGGGAGACAAGAAAATTACGGACCCAAAATACTGTGCATTCTATAGGCAAGTCCATCATCCCACCAAGATGTGCTACGCCCTTAAGGAAAAGATTCAAGCATTGATTGATGTCGGCATCATACTGCCAAGCAGCCCGAGGAAAAGAAGGTGGGTGCTAATGCCGTATTTATAAGCTTCGGGTTGGTCCCTTTATCGTGGTTTCAACCAGAGCCTATATCAAAGGTGGAGATAAATATGATGAACGACAATCCTCATGGACAATGCCAGAAGGGGTTTGTGTCGCATACGGCCCCTAATGGTGAAGTTCTTTGGGTCCACCCAAATATGCTCAAAGATGAACCGTGGGTGGGATCCTCTTTCAAGAAAAACTCTAAGAACAAAAGCAAGTCTTGTTGCCCCACCTCAGCAATTCCAGAGGAGAATGATGAAGAAATCCTAGCTTTGCCATTTTCTGAGGATGAGCACAAGGTCTTTGCCACCAGAAGTGGGAACAAGTACTAGTTTAATTACCCGGAGGCTTCCGATCAATTAGCTGGACTAGGAGTGGTCATAATCCCTCCTAAACCAGCTAACAAGCCGCTGCAACAGAAGGAGGCTAAGGCCAAGCAAAAGGAGAAGGAACCCCAACATCAAGAGGTTCAAAACCCGAAGCAGTCTTGTTTCAATCGTCCGATTGGAAGAGATAAATCGGGAAGTTTGAACGCACCGTACCGCTTCGATGTTTTGACTCAACTAGCTAACATCCCAATAAGGGCCTGTTTGGTTCATTTCCTTCACTTTCCAAAGGCCACTTTTCTTCACTTTCTAGTGTTTCCTTCACTTTCCTGAAAAATGTTTCTTGTGTTTGTTTCGCCCAAAAATATGGAGTGAAAGTACTTTCCACCATTTTTCTTAGTTTGGTTCAACTTGAAAAAAGAAGAAAATAAGTGAATTGTGAATAGATTCCCTCATTTTCTAGTGTTTGGTTCAAACTAAAAAATCAAGAAAACTTGATTGTGGTCACCATGGTAAGATTACCACTCATCATCATAGTTGTGCATATAAACATGGAAATTGTGAACAAAATCAATTATCTTATGATCACAATTGAATCAAATGATGAATAACAGATTAGCACAAAACTGAACCCAAAGCAATAATCAAATGATGAATAACAGATTAGCACAAAACTGAACCCAAAGCAATGTTGGCTGCAATATATTTTGTGCTCAGAAAAGACTGTTTTTTCATTATCTACCTCGCCATGAAGTTTATAAATAGCAATGTTGGCTGCAATATATTGCCTCACCAATATATTGCTGCTATAAACTTTGGCTGCATATCTAAAAAATAACTCATCATCATAACACAAAATATGCATACCAACCAAAGGCCAACCAGGAGCTGAAACCAAGGCCGAGAGCAGGTTGAAACCATGCACAAAATTAAAACAAAGGCCAAGCATCGACATGAAACCAAAGAACTGTAACAAGACCAAAGACCAACAATGGCTGGAATCACACTTGGCTGAACGCAAGGCCAAGAGTCACGTGTGAAATCAGCATGTAATGCACAAATAGTCAGCACAAAGGAAACCAAACCAAGGCTGAACATATGGCCAAGCATCAACATGAAACCAAAGAACTGCAACAAGACCAAAGACCAACAATGGCTAGAAACACACTTGGCTGAACGCAAGGCCAAGACCAAGGCTGAAACCAGCATGTAATGCACAAATAGTCAGCACAAAGATTGCCAAACTGTCACATAGCTGACCAACACATCACAACTGATTCATTGGCTGCACACAACCAAAATATTGCTGAAAATTAAGACAAGTAAGCACAGAACTGAAGTCCAAGGGCTAATACTACAGAGTATCAGCTGGCAAACGCATCCTGGAAACCAAGTATGCACCAACACACTAAGCAACGAAACGTATGCTGGAAATTCAAACAAGCTGGAACAAAACTGGTACCAAAAGAAATTAAGCACACAACAGAAATCACATGCAAGCACACATATAAAACTTGGAGCGAAGCCAACAATTCAAACCAAATGCCAAGCAAACAATTGAAACCAGCCCTATAGTCAACAAAACAAAACATTTGCTGGAAATGAATAAGGCAAGCACTCAACTATACTCAAACACTTAGATAGCTGACACTTTGGCCGAGAGCAAGGCTGAAACCAGCATGCTGAACATTGGTTGCAAATTCCCAATTACATAACAACCATTTCAATCAATTTCCCAAGCAACACAACTGAACATTTGCTGCAAATTCAGACTGCTTGCCAACACAACACAACTGAATCACATGGGCCAATATTCAGATAATCAGACTGCTAACCAACAACACTGAAACCACAAAATGGCACATAACTGAAATCACATGCAAGCACACAACTGAAACTAAGGCTGAAGCAACAACTGGGAAAGCATAGGACTGAAACCAAAGGACAAGCATCAATTAGCAAGCAAACAACTGAAATCACATGAGGTGAAACAACTGAAACCAAGGCTGAAGCATCAACTGGGAAAGCATAGGACTGAAACCGAAGGACAAGCAACAATTAGCAAACACACAACTGAAAGTAGACCTTTGCTGGAAATTCAGAAGGCAAGCTCAAACTGAGCATGTATGCATGAGTGAGATCTAAAAATGAGAAAGGCTGGAAATGAAGACATGTTGGAACACACCTGAAAGCACTCAGAAAGCACACAACTGAAATCATGCTAGAAATCCATAATTGAATATAAGGCCAAGAAACAGATGGAAAGCACACAACTGAAAAAAGACAGTTGCTGGAAATGAATATGGAATGCACACAACTAATAAATGTGCTCAGAAAAGGCTATTTACTTCATTATCTACCCCGCCATGAATTTTATAATAGCAATGCTGGCTGCAATATATTGCCTTGCCAATATATTGCTGTTATAAACTTTGGCTGCATATCTGAAAAAAAGCCCATCATCATGACACAAAATATGCATACCTCATTAACTTTAATTCAACGAGGTGAAACCATTCACCTTTCCCCACTTGTAAACCTGTTCAAACAAGTTTGCATTAGCCAAATAATATTCGATAAAACATTTAAAGTCACGGCTGAGATGTATGATGATAGAGATAGTAGCATTAGCTTTGCATAAATGATAGAGATAGTAGCATTAGCTTTACACAAAATATACATCTACCATTGTTGATGTATCCAAAAGGATGAGCAATCATCTAGCTCATTTTCATACAAAAATAATTACACAAACATGGATATAATTAGCTAGTTTCACAAAAATATCCCAAAGCAAGCACCCAAAAGCTAGGCAATCCACAATACCACCACTCTAATCAAGAGGATGACTCTTCATGAACTCAGTCAACACCTTCTTTTGCATAATAGTTGGCCTCCCCATAAACAACCTAGCTTGTGATTCATTCTCATGCAATTCTTGATAAAAGTTATCAAGAATTTCTATGTCGAATTCATCATCATGTGCAAATATAGCTTTTGCCAACTTCTCTGTCCAATGCATACTCACCATGCGCATAGATGAGGTGAATTGTTTTACCTCACTTACTATCTCACGCATAAGCACCATGTCCTCACTAGACCCCCCCCCCCCCCCCTTTCCTTTACGCGTCTTTGACACGTCATTTTTAGCTTTGTTCAAACTAGAAGATGAATTGGATTTTGGTGGCATAGTTGGAACCTTCGGTAGTGGAATATCATTTTCATCTAAAGAGACATAGCTAGGCGTCTTCTCTGTTGGCGTACTAATATCATCATCATCAACACCAATACTAAAATGTTCACTACCACCAAATTGTGACATAACATCTACCGCATAATCTCCTCTAGCAACATCGTCTCCTATAATATTTGTGAGGTCTTCATAATGTTTCATGGGCTTGTTGATGTATTCCCTAAGTTTAGAACTATTCATACTCTTATCCTGCATAGTTAAGGCATAGTTAAGGCATATATCAAATACTTACATAGACAACATTGAACAAATTAGAAATATTTTTAGGTGTAATGACCACTAGAAAATAATTCATACCTCTAGCCATCTATCAAAGCAAGCCTCATCCATAGTTATCATCTTTTGTGCATCATCCCAACCGGCACCGCTCAAGTTACGACATTTTTGCATGTCCAAGAATCTATTATGAATAGTTTTCATACGATTTTCCACGTTCTCGGTGGTGAACGATGAACCTAATTTTTCATTTATATGAAAGGCGGCGCTACAATAAGTGGTTTTTTTGAACCTCTTATCCGCCTTCATTCGATCTTTAGCACACTTTGCAAGAAAAGAAATTAGCAAATCATCATGTTTACTCTCCCATAATTGGTTAACTCTCCGCTTGCAAACCTCTTTATTTTAGATTTATGAGCAATAGCTTTCTTTTTCCTCTTTGGATTAGGAGATGAACTTTCATCACCATCGAGGCCAATATCACTTCTCTTGTTGCTTTGTAATTGTTGATTAGGTGACGGAGTTTCACCCATGCTACAACTTTGACGTTGTAAAGTTGGAGGAGCATTTAGCATACTCATGAATGACATTGGGGGTGGTTGGCCAATTCCCCAAAAGTTAGCATCTTGCATTTAAAAATTATTCCAAAAATTAGAACCTTGGCCAACTTGTGAAGAGTGATAAGGCATAAATCCCGGATTGAACCCACAAGGGATTGATGAATTCCTTGGGGTTCTAGGTGATGAATTTGATGTCGTACTCTTGCCTTTGACCTTATCAAGTTCCTCACAATTGAAGTTGTCGGCCATACCTAGAAAATAGTTGTAGAGAAATGTGAAAAATTGACGCAAGTTGAGTAAAGAAAGTGTCCTAAGAAAAAATTCCATACAACACATAATAGTAGCATACTAATGTTTCTAAATTAACACATAATAGTACATGAAAATAGAAAAATCGATACAACACATAATTGTAACATACAAATGTTCCTCAATTAACCTTACATAGTTTTGCATCACACCATCATAAAATAAAGTACATGAAATAGAAAAATGCATAACATAAGATAGTATAGCTAACACATTGCATCACATGCCTACTTTATTAGTATTCCCTCCCTTATATTTTTCACAATAATCAACCCACATTGCCCAAGCTATTTCATCTCTACGATCCTTCCATACGATTCTTGATTGTGTTTGCTCCCTTAGAGTTTGGGGTTGAGAGAAATCAACAATATTATTCTCATCTTCCGTAGCAACATCACCTTCATCATCTTCGATCTCAACGGTCTCATTGAATATGTCATCATCCGGGTCCACCATTGCAATATAATTGTGAAGAACTGCACAAGCTAATACGATATCCACTTGTGCGCGGAAAGGGTAATGAGGCTTTGCGGTAAGAATTTTGAAACGATTCTTCAAACAACCAAATGTAGATTCGATCTTAGACCTTAAAGAAGAATGTCTAAGATTGAACAATTCCCTTCTATTTTTAGGTGTTCTTCCCATTTGTTCCATCAAATGGTAACGAACACCACGATATGGGGAGATGAAACCCGGCATGGTCGTGTATCCCGCATCACACAAGTAATATTTTCCTACAATTTATATGATGTGAAAGTGTTTAGTAGAATTTTTTGTCATTTCATTGAATATCATTTATTAATTGAAGTAATTAAAACAAAATTGAAGAATTGATGAAATTACCATCATATACTTTCAAACCATGAGGTTGTGGCCTAGACAATGCATCTTGAAGGACTCTAAAGTCATTTGCAGAACCTTCCCATCCAGCTAATACGTAAGTGAATAACTTGTTTGGGGTACAAGCCGCTAAAACATTTTGTGTAACACCTTTTCGACCACGGAATCGTGGTTGAAGATTAGCAGGTAGCATAGCATCAACATGTGTCCCATCTATCATACCAATACAATCCTAAAGGATAAAAAATTATTATTAAATATTTATAATTAAGTTAGATGAACATGCTTTTAATCACAAGTTAAAGAGAGAATACCTTGAAATAAGGATAGTATAGAGGGTTGCTAAGGATCTCCTGTGGAACTTCATTCTGTGCTTGTCTTAAAAAGCGTGATCGTATGAGGCAAATTGCTTCTAACACTTTGTTGAAATACCTACTCACAGTCTCACCAGATCTAATAAAATGTGACCTAATACTTCGATTTTTAGTTTTATGCCCCAAAATATTCAAAGTCATAGCAAGTTGCTCCTCCACTGTAACATGTCTTGAGTCTCGCAATAAATCATTCCTCCTCATTATCCCTGCAAGCTTCACAAAAGCACCACTACGCATTCTAACATAGTTGACACAACTATCACTAAATCCATTATATATACGATCCAAGTGTTGTTTTCTATTTTGATTTTGTTTTGTTTTCTCAACACTAGGACCTGCACGTATAGATCTACGTCTGCTTTGCATTCTCCTCATGAAGATCTAACCAAAACTAAGACAGATAGTGCAGCACCCGAACACATATTAATTACTGTCTCTTCATCGAGATCACCATCCATCTAAAATACAAACATCATAAAAAGCAAATACCAATATTAAATGCAAATGATCATAATTATTTAGGAAAATTATCATAATTATTTATGAAATGTTTGTTTAATTCTCCTATCTGCAGATGATCAAACTATTTTATCAAAATACAAACGTCGCACTAGAAATATGTAGGATACTCTCATTCCATCAAGGTGAAATCATTCACCTTGATCCTCTTACAATATCGAATTTATCATCTATGCTTGCTTTATTTTGGGAGATATAAGTTGCAAAATTGATTTCTCCAACGCATCATATGAGAACAAGTCAGATAACCATACAAGCTCATACTATTAATAATTTCTATGAGATATACGTTGCAAGGATTATACATATCAAATTAAGACTAGTTAGATAAGCTATTAATAATTTCTGCAATCAAAATTTTCAAATAATAATTAGATGTTTGCATACCAAAATCTCAAAAAACAACCAAATAAAATTATATAAACTAAAATAGATCCTCCAATACATGACATGCAGACTGGAAAAATACACAGAATAATCACCAGACATAACATTTACCTTCCTAGTGGCAAAAAGCAGAGAACCGTAGTAGATAATCTCCAATATCTACACCTACCAAGCAACAACTACGGATTTGAAGTCGTTTGAGCAAATCGTAGTGGGAAATGGTGGTCAAAATACCCAAACTTAGACAAATTTTAAACCTGACGTCAAAGGAAGTAGGAATTCGATAAATGAAAGCCATAAAAAAATTAAATAAATACAAAAGAATTGATTTTTAGCATTGTACCTCCATAAATCAACCAAGATCTTGTCGTGTTTTCCCTTTTGTTCGAAGGCTAGGGTTTCAATCGGTGTCAGACAGCGCAAATGCCATCCAAACAGACCCAAAAGGTGGACGACTCGGGGGTAGGATGTGTGGTGGTGGAGGGCAAGGGGGAGCAGGGCATCATCGGCGAGGACAGCGATGTCGACGCCGAAGAGGGAGTGGGTGGACGGGAGGCCGCAGCGGAAGAATAGGCTGAGCCCTAGATTGGAAGGCGGGAGGGAAGGAGGAGGTCGAAGTTCTTGGTTGATTCGGGCGGGAGGGAGAGAAGGGCGGGAGCGGGAGAAAGGGGCGGGAGCAGGAGAGGGGTAACCAGAACGAGAATGGAAGGGGTTGGAGCAATCAGCAATTTTTGTACGGGAGAGAGAACGAGGAGTTTTTCGCTGTAATCAGGGGTTTTTGAGCGGAAAATGGATGGGCGAAAAAGCTGTCAGAATGCCCGCACTTTTCTTCGCGTTCTTTTTTCTTTTTTACGAAGCAAACATCCGATTGTGAGGGGAAGTAACAAATTCACCCTCTGTCAGTTTTCCCAAAGGCCATTTTCCTTCATTTTCTGTATTTTTTGGCCGAAACAAACAGGCCCTAAGGATAACTCTATACGAGTTATTGCATCTTTCCAAGGATACTAAGGAGGCTTTGCAAGAAGCTTTGGTCGATTCTAAACTATTTCTCACTCGAATTAAGCCAACCTCCGAAGAGTCAGAACCATTAATCCAACACAGCAACCTCGCGGCCAAACAGTTTCCTTGCATCACCTTTACCAAAGACGACATGCAAACAAGGAACTCAAAGCATGATAGACCTTTGTATTTTACTGGATACATCGGCTCCAGTATTGTCAACCGGACCCAAGTCGATCCGGATTCCACGGTCAGCATCATGCCGCTCCGATTGATGTATAATCTTGGAATCCTCGCTAGCAAACTGGCTTCCACAGGCACTATTATCTATGGATTCAACACCAGTAGGTCCAAACCATTGGGTAAAATCCAAGTGAAGTGCCAACTTGGAGATTTGAAGTTTGAAGTTACCTACTATGTGATCGATGCAAAGACCTCCTATAATTTACTATTAGGTCGACCTTGGATCCATAATAACGTTATAGTTCCCTCCACCCTCAATAAGTGTCTAAAATATGTGAACACGTAGCGGATAAGCAACCGTTTAAGGTATTGAAAAACTACTTTGCTGACTACTTCTTTATGGTGCTAAATCTGATATTGAATTATCGGCCCAAGGCACGAAAAGCGGAGAAGGAGCTGATACCAAGGTCGGGCTTGATTATGATGGAGGTTTTATACTAAACGACATTGTACCCTTTGTAATCAATCTTGATGGTGGTGGATCATCAGATAGAAGTTGTAATTGGCAACTTACCGAAGAAGCAATGAATGACAATTTAGAGTACTCACCTTGACTTGATGAAGTGATGAAGGGGTTATACAATAACTCTGACATACATATGTCACTTCGATCGTCTTGCATGCCAAAGAAGCGTGTCCAAGACTCATTTGGAACAACTCTCGTCCTTCCTACCAAAGTAGGGGGTGAAAAGGAGGTAATCTTCAGTAAAAGGGAAATATCTCTACCATCAGATCCCTTCTTAAAGAAAGATAGTGATGATGAGAAATCCGACCTTTATCTATTCAGATACAGCCTACAAGCACGCAAATTCATTAAAAAGTGGGGATACAACTTCGCGCTCGAAGAATGTCTTTGCTTTGGTCGAGGTCCTCGAGTTCCACCTCGCCCGACCTATGTACCAAAAGGAAAGCCAGACAATTACTATGGTTATAAAAGGGGTCTAGGCTATGTCTCTTCATCGGATGATGAATGTTGTTGGCAAGTTATTAACCAATTAGCCACTCAGGTAAGGACGGATACTGATCTGACTCTTTAGGTTGGGACTCCGATGTCAGCATTAGAGAAATGTTTAAAGGACTAATGTCGAATATGACCACAGTCGATCCCGCTATAATGGAAGAAGACAATCAATTGCCAACTTAGGAAGATCCCTTGATCCATCATCTAAATATCCAATATGGCGATCAATTCAAACAAAGAGAACCTCCCACCAAGGATAAAATGTTCCAAGTAAACATGAACGGCGAAGCGAATCTGAAGCCCATATTCGTCAGCGATAGCCTCCTACCAGAAGAGAAGGAGGAATTGATTACCCTCATCAGGAAATACATTGATGTCTTTGCTTGGAATTACAAGGATACGCCAGGACTTGACCCAAACATGGTGATGCACTGCCTCAACATTAAATCGAATGCCAAACTTGTCAAGCAACAGCAAAGACGGTTTCGTTCGCAAATTATGGAGGCGATTGAGGCTGAAGTCAAAAAGCTAATCGATTCAGGTTTTATCAGGGAGAAACAATATCCCGACTGGCTAGCAAATATTATCCCGGTCCTTAAAAAAAGAAAAATCAGGATCTGTATTGACTTCAGAGACCTAAACGCCACTTGCCTAAAGGATGATTTTCCTCTCCGATCACGGATATCATCATTGATAACATGTGCGGATTTGAGAGAATGTCCTTCATGGATGGATTTTTGGGTTACAATCAAATCAAAATGTACCCAGATAGCGAAAAGTATACCATATTCAGAACACCGCTTGGCATCTTCTACTACACGGTTATGCCCTTCGGCTTTAAGAATGCAGGCGCTACATATCAACGGGCCATGACGAATATTTTCCAGGAACATCTCTGAAAAACCATTGAGTGCTATGTTGATGACTTGGTTGTGAAAAGTCGCAGCAAAGACGACCATATAAAAGACTTGAGGACAATGTTCAATCTCATATGGAGTCACCAACTGAAGATGAACCTTACCAAGTCCTTTTTGGGAATGTTCAGTAGCAAGTTCCTTGAATTTGTCATCACCACAAAGGGTATCCATATTGCTCCTGATAAAGTAAAGGTGATACACGAATTGCAACCATTCTCCAAGCTCTCAAGGAAATGCCAACCATTCTCCAAGATCACAAAGAAGGGCGTGTCATTTATCTGGGATGATGCTTGTCAGAAGGCGTTCGAAGATATAAAGACGTATCTCTCAAATCCTCATGTTCTCGTTGCATCGAAATCGGGTAAACCGTTCTTGATTTATGTCAAGGTGGCGAACCACTCGGTAAGTGCTCTACTTGCAAAAGACGACGATAACAGTCACAAACAGTCAATGTACTATCTGAGTCAGACTTTGGTAGGTGCAGAATCTCGATATCCAATGATTGAGAATGAGTACCTCGCCCTGATGTTTGCAATTTAGAAAATGCTATACTATCTGGTTGGACAGATGATCTACGTCATTTTTAATGTTAACCTAGTCTGGGTATTCATGACACAACCGGTTTCTATGAATTGATGGTTAGCGAGATAGGCCCTGCTTTTGTCCCAATACGAGCTGCACTTCAAACAACAGAAGTCGGTCAAAGGACAAACGATTTGCGATCTTCTAGCTGTGAACCCCCATGAAGGATACAACCGAACTATATGAAGATTTTTCGGATGAAACTCACGAGGTCAACACTACCTCTCATCAGCAGGTGTGGTAATTGTATTTCGGTGGTACTTTTCGAGCAACTAATGTGGCGAGTGCTCCCGGATGCTCCAAAATATCCTCCGGAGTCAAAATTGTCCTAGTTTCCCTGGAGAAACATGTGATACCTCGAGCCTATTTGTTGGTCGAGCCATGCTCCAATAACATGGTCGAATATAACGCCCTGCTCATTAGGCTCAGTTTTGCTAAAGAGCCGGGGGTCGAGTACCTTAAAGCTTTTGGTGATTCTCAGCTGATAATCAACCAGGTTCAAGGAGAGTACGAAGTTAGGAACTGTAGGCTGTCTAAAAATCACAATAGATAGTTAATACCCCATCAAACACCGATGATGGAAGTTACAATCTGACGACTTCCAGAAGGCTACAATTTGAGGACTTTCACGTAGAAGGTTACAATCTGACGACCTTCACAACAACTAATGAAGGCCCCAATTCAACAGCATTCACAATCAACATCGGGAATTACAATCTGACGACTCTCATATTTTCAAGGAGCCAAGACGAAGATTACAAGAGGACGATCTGTGCAAAGCTCTAGCAAAAGAGACTACAAATTGACGGTCTCTTCATATTAGAATGCAGATATCTCTCAAACCGTAAGGAATTAACTCTGTGTTTTCAACATCAAAACGCAGAGTTAATCTCTAAAACAGCACAACCTGTGCGTTTTCAGCCTTTAAACATGCCCAACTCTGCGTTTTCAGCCTAAAACGCAGAGTTCATCTCTAAAACAGCACAAACTGTGCGTTTTCAGCCTTTAAACAGGTCAACTGTGCGTTTTCAGGCCAACTGTGCGTTTATGGGCTCAACTGTGCGTTTTTAGCCTGAAACAGGCCAACTGTGCGTTTACAGGCCAACTGTGCGTTTACGGCTCAACTGTGCGTTTATGGGCTCAACTGTGCGTTTTTAGCCTGAAACAGGCCAACTGTGTGTTTACAGGTCAACTGTGCGTTTATGGGCTCAACTGTGCGTTTTTAGCCTGAAACAGGCCAACTGTGCGTTTACAGGCCCAGCTGTGCGTTTTCAGCCTCAGCTGTGCGTTTTCAGCCTCAACTGTGCGTTTTCAGCCCAGCTGTGCGTTTTTCAGCTCCAGCTGTGCGTTTTCAGCCCCAGCTGTGCGTTTTTCAACCTCAACTGTGCGTTTCAGGTCCAGAAACGCACAGTTCGAGCCCAGAACGCTGTTTTCAGCGTTTAACTCGTTCAAGCACGATTTGAACGGTTCCAGAACCGTTTTCTCCCCAAGATTTTAGGGGATCACTACCCTATCATGGAGAGATTTATGGGGAGCAGTTAGACCCCATTAAACCCTCATTAAGGAGATATTTAAGGGGGCGGTTATACCCTTAACCCCCTATAAATACCTCAAAACTCAACTGAGTTCGGATCCTCTTTTTTTTTGGAGGGGGGAGCTGACTTTTTGGGGATCCTTGATCGAGCATCTTGCCGCGTTCTGCAGCAACAAGGAGTTTTGGAGACCAGCAACAGGAGCTTCTTCCTTGGCTTATTAACCGAACTTTCGGTTCAAATCAACTCTTTTTCAAGAGTTCAAACTCGTTCAGAGTTATCAACTCGATCAGAGTTCAAAACTTGCTCTGCAAGTTCTTCTAAAACTCGTCAGAGTTATCAACTCGATCAGAGTTCAAAACTTGCTCTGCAAGTTCTTCTAAAACTCGTTCAGAGTTATCAACTCGTTAAGAGTTATTTTCAAACTTGCCACGCAAGTTCTCCACAGCGTCAAATCGTGAGGAGAAGACATCGTTCCAGTGAATCAAGACGTTCGGATCGTCAACGAGAAGTAAACTCGACGCGAGCATTCGAGGGAGGCATCTCATCGCCACCGTGAAGAACCCAGTTTTAAACAAAGGGGAGAATCAAATTTATTCTCTTCTCTTTTGTAATCGGAATCCAAATTGTAATTGATTTTGAGAGGAATACAAGTCAATTTTTCTTTCATTGTCTTTTTACTACAAATTTCCAACAAACAAAAGATGGCGACTCTGCTGGGGATGAGCTTCTCTGACGAAGAAGTGGTGGTGCAATCCGACGTTCATCTCACTGGAATGACCGTTGAAACTCTGATTATCGAGTTTAATCAAGCCAAGTATGAGGAGGCCATCTCCTCCGGATCCCTTAGCCCCAAGGCTATGCGCAAGATCCACAAAGTTTCCGAGGAGACTAAAGCTCCAGTTGTAGCCAACTCATCTAAAGACTATCTCCCATGGGGGTTGCACTGTTCATACAGTCCCCTCCCTAAAGGAGAAGACTCGACTTCGGCACGACTCCAAAGCCGATCCTCCAATCAACGCGAACTCCGCGTTTGCGAGCCTCAACATGAGCTCTGCATAAGCCAAGCGAAACGCAACTCTCAGGAGTGCGTTCCAAAATTTAAACGCAGACATCAAACCTGCGTTGTTCTGGCTGAACGCAACTCTCAGGAGTGCGTCCCAGAACCAAAACGCAACTCTCAGGAGTGTGTTTCGCAAACTGAACGCAACTCTCAGGAATGCGTTTCTGAATCCGAACGCAGATCACAGGACTGCGTTTCACTAGTAAAACGCAGACTTTGGTCTTGCGTTAATCAAGCTAAACACGACCCTCGTGTTCCTTCTTTGGAACACGATGTGATTCGTCGTGTTCAAAATGATCAACATGGATTTAAAATTCATGTTTACCAAGAACCAGTCCCATCCTTTAACGGACAGGGGGTTCCATCTCTACCCTCACGCTCTGTGAGAGGTGCCAAGGAGACTAAAGCTCCAAAGGTTGCTCCTATGCCAAAGGAAACCCTCTCCTTTAGTCGCCGAGATTACTCGAGCAGCCCTACCTCTAAAGGAGTGGGCTCAGTTTATGCCAAACGCAGCCCTCAGTGGTGCGTTGTGCAATCAAAACGCAGCCTTCAAAACTGCGTTGATTTGGCAGAACGCAACTCTCAGGAGTGCGTTTCAGAACCAAAACGCAACTCTCAGGAGTGCGTTCAAGATCCAAAACGCAGACTTACAAACTGCGTTAACCAACAAAAACGCAACCGGCAAAGGTGCGTTTCATCAACAAAACGCAGACTTCGGTCTAGCATTAGTAAAACAGAACACTACCCTCGTGTTTCTTCTTCAGAACACGATGCGATTCGTCGTGTTCAAAAAGATCAACGTGGACTCAAGATCCATGTTCACCAGGAGCCAGTCTCATCCTTTAATGGACAGGGAGTTCCATCTCTACCCTCACGCTCTGTGAGAAGTTCATCCCAAGTCTCCGACTTGCGGGAATTGCTGTCAATGTTCAACCGACCGACGAATGTCGTTTTGCTCAATAATCGACGGCATCATCACAGGAAGAAGACTTTAGAGGTTGAATACCTTGGAGTCACTTCTAACATGGTTGGTAGAGGGAGATCATCAACCCTTAGTTCTGACGAGTCAGAGACAGATCATTCTCCAAGCGTCAGAGAAATCGCTAACGAGTTTGAAGGAGTCTACCAACGCACTCGGACGCGAACAGGAGCCATTCCCCCTGTCAACTATCGGAGTTTGGCCAGAGAAACTAATTCCGAGAGTCTCAATCGTCAAGTTCCTTTGTTGAACGTGAAAGCTCCGCCTATATGACAGAAAGCCATGAAGATCTCGCGAAGAGACTTGATGAGCAGGAGGTCATGCTCAAATCTCAGCAAGAGGCCATCAATGAACTCCTGGCCCTGTTGACTCAAATCGTCACAGACAAGGCCAAATCTCAGGAGACAGATTCGCCGCTTAGGCAAGAATCTTCCCGGAGAGGAAAAGCGTCTTCATCCCGACCTCACACAAGCAAAGGGAAGGAAAAAGTGGTTGATGATGCGGCTTCTGACCAAGAAGCCCACAACCTGGAATCTTCCTCTGATGAAGGAAGAGAGACAGAGAACGAGAAAAATCTCCAATCTGCCAAAATGGAAGAATTGGAAGCCCGCCTCAAAGCCATTGCCAACAGAAGTGAGCTCCAAGATGAGGGAGTTATCAGGCCCTATCCTGTCGAATGGGATGCAGCCCCTTATCCTCCAAAGTTCGAGGTCCCGACGCTACAAACTTTTGACGGCACGGGATCACCGAACCAACATATTTATCATTTCAAGTCACAGACTGGAAATATAATATCGAACGATGCCATACTGGCTCGATTGTTCATTGGCACCCTCAAAGGAATTGCCTTTGAATGGTTCAGGAAACTGCCTGCGGGCTGTATCCAAAAGTGGGCGGATCTAGAGAGACTCTTCCTGTCAAGATTCTTTGAAGAGGATACAGAAGTCTCCATCCATACCCTTCTCTCTACTAAGCAGAAGAAGAGGGAATCAGTCAAAGCCTTCGTCAAAAGGTTTCGAAATATGGCTTTGCGTTGTCCGACAGGTATGACACAGTCTACCTTAGTAGAGACCTGTCGACACAACTTGCAAACCGACCTCTTAGCCCGAATAGGAGTTGCAGAATGCCGTTCTTGGAGACAACTAATCTCTCAAGGCGAGCAGGCTCAAAAAATCATTGCCAGGATCAAAGCTGAAGAACAAAGTAGGCAGGATCAACCTGAGCAATCGGACCAAGCCCAACCTTCTCCAGAGCAATCGGACCAAGTCCAATCTCCTCAGTCAGAAGGGGAAGATACTACGGCCACTGAAGCTAATCCTCTTCAGTAGGATGCCGGGCCTCCAACAACTATCACGTTAACAATTACCTCTGATAGTCAAACTCATCAGATAATGGCCTACCTGGTGATGTGACTCTATTCCGACTTCATGGATAGTGCCTCACTAGGTGATGTGCCTTGTTTACCTCTTTTTATGCCCCTGCTAAGTCTCAATCAAGACTGGGGGTTGATTACTTGGAATCCACTGGATTAAGAGTAACGAATCTTTCACATCGTCGAGTTAACATTACACTTCTGACGATCATCATCCCCACAGAGTATGCATTCAGTTTTCATCACTCCAAATTCTTGTCACGTTAACAATACACCTCTGACAAAACCCACTTATCAATCCTCGTCAATAGGATGATAAGTCCCCAAAGTTGCTCCAATTGCAACACAAATCCTGTCACGTTAATACTACACCTCTGACAAAACCCACTTATCAATCCTCGTCAATAGGATGATAAGTCCCCAAAGTTGCTCCAATCGCAACACAAATCCTGTCAAGTTAACACTACACCTCTGACAAAACCCCACTTATCAATCATCGCCAATAGAGCGATAAGTCCCCAAAATTGCTTCCATAGCAATATTCTCCTTGTCACGTTAACACTACACCTCTGACAAAA